GGGTATGTCCCTATTCACATAAATACAGTAGTAAATACTGTATGTTGGTCTGCAGTTGGAGATTCATTGTGGAATTCACTTCTAGCACTTGACTATGTGCCACTGGCAAATCTTATATGTGTTGTTCTTGTCCTAAGTATTATTGTTCATTACCAATCTTCGTCTGATTATTCTATTCATTAACCTTCCCTAGGTTACAACACATCACTCATTCAAAATTTCTATATATTTTAATTAAAATAATAATAATTGTACATAAATATATCATGGGTGTATTATTAGGTGCATGTTCAAACCAAATGGTGAATGATGAGATCTTATGGTGCTTGTGTAAGTTGTTAAAATGAATGGGTTGTGAATCAAGCTAGTTAGGAATAGGGTAGTTACTGATGACCAACCTCTCCCCACTCTCCCTTTGGCCTTGGGCTACAAATAATGTATATCATTAAATAAAATTCACTTCTCTGCCTTTTGGCTAAGATCAAAGTGTAGTATCTGTTCTTATCAGCTTAATTTGATTCACTCTCTCCACTTCTATTTTTATTTCTTCTTTTCATTTTCTCACTGAAACCAAGTAGTGTCTTTTCCCCTCTTTCCACACAATCAAAATGGAATAGTTCATTATTTATGAGATATTGACAAGGCATAACAGTTGTGCCAACTAACAAGAGGAACAAGTACAATTATAATAGATGGTCAGGCCACTATCATTCCAGTTATCGTTTAGGAAGGGGGGGCTGTATCACCAAACAAAGTTTTACATTGAGAAAATTCTAATAAAACTTATTATCCCATAGCTTCAGAAGTCTCCATTGCTTGACATTGCAAATGTTTTGCAAAATGTGCTATCTGATTTCATATGATTTGATCAAGGGTACCCATAATACAAGAGCTGCAGAAGCAAGTACAAATAATAACAATAATAAGTAATATTGGTAATGGTCTTGAATAAATAAAGCAACTAAATAATAAATTAATGTCTTAATCTTTATTTTATAGATTTTCTGGGTAATTGTTTCATTTAACATATCCAAAATATTCCTTTTTAATGATGTTTTTTGGAGTAGTGAATTGAACAACAAAACCACAAAAAACAAATTCTAATCATGATAATTTCTTTTTTTTTATTAAATTTAGAATGTAGGGGATAATGGCTCACCACAGCTTCCTTTTTTAGGATTTGTAGATTGCTATGATTTCTTGGGAAAGATAGTGGAGTGGTTTTCCGTTACCTTTTCTTTCTTTTTCTTTAAAATTGGTATCACTCGAAGCAAAGCAGTACAGCCACTAACATGCAAGGGGTTACAAGATGTGGAAGAATTAGGAACAGGAGTATAAGTAATGAGTAGAAAAAGGAAAGAGCAGTCAGAAGGACAGTAAATAGCGATTGACATTGCATTTAAGTTTTTGCAGATTAAAGTTGGTTGGAAAGCATGGAGCCAGAAGGAAGTGCCACAAACGAGAAGTGTGAGAGAAGAAACTGTCAGCATAGAAGTTACAGCTACATCTAGCCATCTCAACTGTAAATTAATGAGATCTCAATGCCAGTTTAGTATTGCCCTTAAATTCATACAGTCTAGGTACCATAATAAAGATATCATCCAAACAATTACCATGAAAGTATTTATAAAAAAAGGTACAGAGGCAAATTTATGACAGTGGGTAAGTGACTGATGCCAAACAACCAGATCAGGACCAATAATATTGCTGATTCTTCTTTGGATTTTATCAAGGAGCTCCAGGCAAATAGCAGGGGCACTGGACCATATATGGCAGCAATATTTTAAGCATGGACAAATGGTAGATTTATAGATATGCAAGACAGATTAAGGAGAGAAAAATTGTCTCGCCCAGCACAGACTCCGTGGTTTTTAATTCAAAGTCATCCTTCTCCTAGACTGGCTACCATCTATGGCTATAGTGCCGATTCTCACAGATGGGTGGGTAGAGAAAAACATTCATGCCTTTTTTAAGTGTAAACAGACACAAACAGAATTCAGCACACCAATCCTACTTCTACGCATATTTTAAATTCCCCTCTCTATATTTTAAATATTCTTATAGTTTTTAATGTTTTGTAAAGGAAACAAGGCATCATATATAAAACCCTGAAAAATAAGTATTGCAAAAAACTTACTCACATTCTTCATCAAAATTTTTCTGATAATTTTAGCTGTTTTTTGTTCTCTTACTTAACTAGAAAGATTATTTTTAAAAACGGTTTTAAAGTAATACACAGTTGTTGGGAATAAACTATTCTAAATTATTCATTTTCAAAGAAAAAATAATTACACACAATTAATTCATTATGCATCTGTCTAAAATTAAGACTCTAAATGACCCAACCAAAAATAAATATGTGAACTTAACATCCTGGTTGATGCTATATTTTTAATTGCCAACCTATGTGGTAAGGGAGATAAGCTGAAAAGTTCTCAGTCTAACCTACTTCCAAAGTGTGATCAAACATTAGAAATTTTTTAGGAATAACTTCTTTGCATATATTCAAGAGCCACAAAATTGTAACAGTAAAAATAAATACTTTAATACTTGTGAAATAATTTGATGCACATAATGGATAGGAGCTCAGATTGAGGAATCAGAGAGCCAAGTTTAAATTCCAGTTGAGTTTGTTACATTCACTTACATGCAAATACCCTTGGGAAAGGTATGAATCCATCTCTTCTTCCCACCCCCCAGCTATGGGTAAATAACAGGACAAACTGAGTCCTATAGCTTTGGATGGCAACCAGTCTAGGAGAAAGACAACTATAGATTCAAAACATGAGGAGGGTTGTTTGGGGTACAGACAGAGGGCAATAAACGCCATATTCCATGGGATTTGGTTGTCAGTCAAGTGCTTGGAGAGAAGAAGGGTGCCATCAAGCTATCTGAAAGCCCACTGAAATGGATCACAAGGAAGAACAATCAAAGCAACACCATGTTGGATCAACAGATCAGCTTGAAGGACGTTGTTAGTTGCTACTACCTTAGGTTACCCCCTATGATTGTAGAAGTCAAGAGATTGATGATGATGATGATTGCAAATTTTTAAAAATTAAGAAGAGTAATAATTTAATACTTGTCAAAAAGATTATAAATAATTTTAAAAAATAATCTTTGATTTTTTTTCTTTGGAAATTTATTTAAACTAGATACCACTAAAATGGATGCATTTCCCCCCCGCCACAAAAAATTCACTATCCACTGTTTTAAGATAGTTGCCAAAAATCAGAGAATTATCCAATTAAATTTTGAGTACTTATTCATTAATGAATGAATTGAATGATGAATAGGTTATTTTATTAGCAAAATTTGCAGAAATAATGGGCAGTCTTTTTCACACACACCCTTTCAATATCTTGTGTATACTTTTTAATTTGGGAGCTATCCATCAAATTCTTTTACAGTTATGTTATATAAAGAAAAATCTCTGAAGATGTTATTTTGGTAAAAAAATTAATGCAATATCAAGTGTGAACATATGGAAAATTTGTCTTGAATTTTATCAAAAATAATTAAACTCAAAAAATGATTTTTTTCTGACAGTGCATGCATAATTTAATAAAACACTATATTTTCTTTCAGATTAGAGACAGAAAAAATCTACACTTAATTATTTGTTTTTACTTTTTCAATGCAATTTTGAATTTCATCCTGTTCATAAAAGGTTTCTTTTTTATTAAATAAAGATTATGTTTGAAAAAGCAAAAAATGTAAAGTAAAGTTTAATGCTATTTTCGACCATGGACCTTTTTTTAGATGATTTTTTTTCATTTTAGCAACTGTTAGATTATTTTTTGTATGGATGTTCAAAAAGAAAATAATTCTGAATTATAACTTTTGACTATTTTTCCCTATCAGAGAAGACTAATGATAATTCAACAACTCTTAAATTCAGAATAATTTAAAAAAACAAAAAAAAAAACACATTGGGCGCAATTAGATATTTTATAACAAACAGGTACAAAAATTATTTAAAAAAAAAGCAATTAAAGTAATTAAACTCAAAAGTATCATTTAAGTAAAAGGATTTTAAAAAAACTAGTTAAATGTAATAGAAAAAAAATGAAATTATTCAACAATCAACATACTAAGATTCATAAAATCGTATAAATTAAAAATTCTTATTGGCCATAAAGTTAACAATAATTTATTTTTAAACAATAAATACCAATGTTTTTATTGTTATTATTGCACTGCTGGTATTCAGTATTTCTTTAATTTTTTAATTTGTCGCGCGCTTTTCAAGTCAGAGGTGTAATTACAGTCGTTTTTCTTTTTAACACCTGACCGCACATAAATAATAAATGTTATTTTTATTAAGTTTTACTTTTAAGCAAAAAGCAAACATTCCTTTTACAAAATCCAATTAATCCTTAAATTTAGGAAATGACTTCAAAACAAGTATTGAATTTTTACGATATTTTTAAATTTTTTTACATTTTTCTTTTAATGAGTAAAATGACTGTTCGATGAGTGACAATTGAACGTACGAATTTTTTTTTTTAAATGTCTCTAAAATTTTTATATACGGATTTTTTTCTTTTAATTCGGATTAACTTTCTTTTAGTTAGACTTTAAGCGGCTATATCTGTATTTCAAATAAAACCGAAATTTAAGTTCAAATTTAATAAGGTTAACATTTTTAACATTCGTTTTTCAATTTTTTTTTACTGGGAAGTCTGTGGTGGTTCGGTTTGGTTGAAAGTTGAAACCATAAATTTTCTTAAATTTGTTTGAAAATCGTCAAATTTTTATGCTTTATAACAACATTTAACTAGCATGAACAATGTGTTGATTTACTATTACACATGACTAGAGAGTGTTGTGAAGGGTAGCACCTGGTACTTCTTTAAAATAGCAAATAAACAACTTTTATTTACTTTTCTAAGCTTGATCGCTATTCCTATTTTTTGCTATGGTTTCTCTGACAAAAAAGTTAATGATTTTGATTAAATTAACAACAAAAGATAAATTTAAAGAAATCATTTACTTACATATAACAATAGTTTCATGGTGAAACCTGTTCACGCCTGCTCACTGCACATTAACAACTGCAACTAGAAAAGAAAAATGTTTTTTTGCGTAAAACTAAAAAGGGAAAAAAACAACTCGTTAAATAAGAAGCCACTACCCTTGTGACTCTGGTGTTGGGAGTGTTCGGGAATAAACAATTCTGTTATTCTTTTTATACAAGTTTAAAGGTCTTGGTGAAAGAATGATGTTCAATGTCCGTTTTACTTTTTTAAATATGTTTTGTTTACTCAACTGTTTACGTTTTGTCTTTGTAAACTTTGTATGTATATGATAACTACAGATCATCTGACAACTAAGTTTGAATATTTTTTTTAATCGCGAATGTGATAGGCGCTTTCTTATATCGCTAGAGAGAGATTCCTAAAAAATGAAATTCAATTTTTTTTGCAAACGTGGTTCACCGAATTTGAATGGCAACAGCTGCAATTGGAGTGATTTGATTTAATCTTTATTGATGAAATTAAATAGGAAATAAAGTAATTTAACACCTAACTTTACTGACAATTACAAACTGATTTATCCAGGCAATAAACAAACGGTAACTAACTCTTTCTTAAGTGATAACCATTGTTAGATAACTAACTTTTACTTAACTTAGCTATTTTAAATTTTAAGACAAGTCAAGTTTCTTTTTGATTGTCCATTAATCAGGTTTGACAAAATAAAAAATGGTCATCTTGAGTCTATATTTTTTATCTGAACCTAATGTAATTTTTTATTTTTTTGTTTTCTTTTTCTTTTTTTAATAGACATTTTATTTTTTGCTATTCGCTTGTTTGTACTTATTTTCTGGAATGAAACCTAACTTAATAAAAGTTTAAAAAATTAAAATGTTCAAAAAAAAGTTTTATTTATTTTGAAAATATGTACTTGTAAACAATGTATCTGCTCAACCCAATATTATCATTAAAAAATCTATGACACTGTGAGGCCAAGAAAACAGTTTTTTAATCTTGTTTAGTTTATTTTTACTTTTCTGTTTTTTAGTTTTAAGAAAACGTGAGAGGCCTGAAGCCCCCTACACTCCAAATAATGAATGTTATTGTAACATTGTTTATGTTAAAAAGTTAATTAATTCAATTGTTTAATTAATAGTTCTTCTTTCGATATCGTAGAATTTAATTTAAATAACGAAAATCTTTTATTTTTATATACCTTAATTACACTAGAGTAGGTTATCAGTTAGTGAAGTTATTGCGGATGTGTGATGTGTGTTGGAGAGGAATAGAAAGGTTTGAATTATTATCAGAAGGCTTAAAATTGTGTGTTCAATAATCTTCCATCCACAACAATTAATACAAGATAGAGCAATAATGATTCATAAACATCTTGTTTCAAAACGTAACAATTGAATTTATTAATATTTGATATACATGCATGAATACTGAGTGAAAAGGTTAGGCAGAGTTGTGTCTCTTAGACTAGGTAATATTTGTACCTAAGATCATAAAGTGAAAATAATTATTAAACTGTAGCTTAGAAGAATAAAGTTTCTTTAGCATGTTTGGAATTGTGTATTGTACAAAAGTTCAGAAGAGATTTCAGAGTTCGTACTTGCGTGAATGTTGGTAATGGTCTTTAACGTCTGACCGCAAAGGTTAAGACGGAAGTTCTTGAAGATTACATCTTGGCAGCAAGGAATGAGACGCGAGAGAGATGAATGAAAAGAAACAACAGGGAGCTTACACGTGTTATGTTTTTATAAGGTCGTGTATCACGTGGAAGGCTCCGAACATATTGAGCGGGAAAACAGATTGGTCGCGTGCAGGATATCTGATTGGTCGGAACTGACCAATCAGCGAGCTAGTTTGAAGGTAATTAACCAATGAATGCTTGTTATATATTTTGTAAGATTGTGATGGTGAAAATTACAACAGGAATAGTGCATTTCCTAGCAGGAGTTAACTGGCTTGTTGTGGAAGATTCAACAAAGTGTATGAGTGTGGAAACAGGTTAGAATTTGGCCTTGTTAGTTAGATAGCCCACCATAAGAGGGGTAAAACAAGAAAATCAAATTGTAAAGTGAAAACAAATTTATATACATATAATGTACATGTCTTTACAAATAAAATTAATGTATTTGGTTGATACAAGGTCGTCAAAATGTTCGTAGTAGTCCTTGCAAGAATGAGTTTATGGGTACGTAGGCAAGAACGTATGTATGTATGTATGTATGAGCGTTATCGTAGGGTAGGAATGTCTTTGAAGTAAGCGCTCAATCTTAAATGTTCCTTTAGTTTATCAAGTATAAAAGAGATGAGGGAGAAAGGTAGAGATAATAATAACGCTCGTTTGACGTTGTCAAGGGACTTGTTAATACGCTCGTCTCCTCCTCTCTGGTGACAAGCGAACTTGCTCGTCTTTTATTTTGTTTTTTGGGGCTTGAAAAAGTCATCTGGGAATTCACTCCCGGATATGATTCAGGCCTTTTCATTAGACGATGAACAAAATTTTGCATCGGCTCGCGGAAAGGTCCGTGAAAGAATTTGTTTCTGAGAATTGAAGATTATTTGAATTTTGTTTTTAAATTTTTCTGTTATAGACAAGCGTATGGTTGCAAGAAAGAAATACGACAACAGTAGAGATAGATTTACGTGGTTTATTTCAACAGGAACGTGAGGGTTTGGGACAGCTACCTTGTGGTAAAGTTCATAAGCCGGCTTTCGGATCTAGGTCAATCTCTCATAGTAGTTCATACATATTGACGGTGGTTGGTGCTCTCCTGTTGACAGCTACTGAACGATCGACCTGACCGTGAAAGGTTTCCTTTGTGGCCACCTGTTGACTGACCGTTGAACTTCCGTGTGACCGCTTTTATAGTGTTTTTTTATGGCTTAAGAGGCTCGAAAAACGAAGCGAGTATAATTAGGAGGGAAGCATTTTTATTGGACGAAAAATAGAGCACTTTAAATATTATTTTATTTTTCGACCGGAACACGTGTGTCGGGAACATTTGTGAAGAAAGATAATGGTCATTTTGTGACGGGGCTTTGTCCCGTTTACATCCGGTTCTCGCTCTTGTGTATTTGCCTGTAAATCAGCCGAGATATGTCTTATTTTATTTTATAACATTTCCTAGTTTTCTATTGACCGAAAAACATTTCGCATCAAGGTGTGAAATTTTATGAGTTTTGTTTTGGATTCGCTTTTGCGTGTGTGTTACTGATTAAGTAAAGTTTGTAAATTCGAGTCTTTCTAACAAAATCAATAAGTCAGTGCTTAGCATTTGAATTTTATATCTAGATCTAATTTTGTTCACTATAACACCAAACTCGAAAATCACTTTTAAAGTGAGAGAAAATATTTTTAAAACTTTTCAAATAAAATAAAAATAACCATTTTTTTAGTTCAAGCAAGGCGTAATGGCTTTATATCTGCTTAGAATGATTCAACAAACTAAATCTCTGACTAAAAAACTAAACTATCAATTATGTGTGTGAGAACAATAACCAATGGAGTATTTTTTATTTTATTTTATTTTTTTTTTATTGTGTGTGCGTGTGTGGTGACATTTATAAGCCACATACCCGCTCGAATGGAATGTGGCACATGGCTTGGTTTAAAGTCCTATTCGTATGAAACTAGAGACTCATTTCCATATTGGGACACCTGAGATTAATCCTAGCCCCTCGTCTATTATTAAGATGGAAGCGGTGTTGCCTTGGGAAACAGAATTTATATTTATTTGTACTTCTATTGAGATTATGACGGAAGACAAGGAAGTTAAACAGTTATAATAGTACCCACGTGGTATGACATGAGTTTGAAAGCGGCGAAGGTGTGTTTTTTTTTTTTTTTTTTTTAGTCATGTGACTTACAAGGTAAATAACCAAGGCAAAGACTTGATCTTTTTTTTTTTTTTTTACCTCGAGTGTTTTTTTATTTATACACCCCAAGATATTTAATGACGAAAGTTTTAAAAATACAAAATAGTGTAAGAAAAATATGGAAATACTTTTTTTTAATTTAAAAATAAAATCATTTTAAATTCGCGTACATACACATTATTATGTGGTGGACTTCACCTCATTAATTTAACTTTAGATTAGGAAACAAATCTGACATGGAAAAGGATATGCAAAAGACATCGTTACACATAAAATATGTATTTAACAAGATGTACAATATCAAACAAAGCATGCATTTAAGTAAAGAAAGGTTGAATAAAACAAGAGTTGTCTCTCTCTTAACTATTATTTTTAAGTTTCCAAAGTTCACTGGAAGAATGTTTATGAGAGTTGTAATAATGACTGTTCTCAGAAGATTTTGCTGTGTAAGAAAAGATTATGTGAGTGTATAAGGAATGTTCAGCATGTGAGTGGTGGTGTGAGTGAGAAAGTTGGCGCATGGTTTCAACTGTCATGGAAGCTGAATTCTCACTAATTATCTAAGAAAAATTCTTGCTTAAATAAGTGTGTGGAATCTTCCACATTAGCCTTCTACCCCTTATGGAAAAATGTATTCTTCCCTAAAAAAATCCCCTTAACCAATCATCACTTCGTTTCTATAAATTCAATCGTCTATTGGTTAAGAAACACTAAACTGTAGCAAAGTCGAAACAGATTCTTTTTCCCGCTGAGCTCCCTGGAGCCGAAATTTTAAACACCAAAGTCTATAAAAACAACCGCATGACTCAATTCAAGTCAGTCACTCATTGAGTTGTCCACTGTCGCCCCTACCTTATGCTTTGGCGTTGGAGCCTCTCCTTCGCGGGTTAGGGACAGGGCGTGCAGTCCGGACCTACGCGGAATCGCCGATCCTGGAGGGGCTCGAGCCTGGGTTTCTATGTACGCCGATGACGTATCTGCTTTCGTGTCGTCCCGCAGCGACATTGAGGCGGTACTGAAGGCGCTTGATCGGTACGAAAAGGTGACAGGGACCAAGATTAACCGCGACAAATCGTCCGGCTTTCGGTTAGGTGCCTGGAAGGGGGTCGATCTTCCGGGGCCCTTCGTTTGGACGGACGGTCCTGTCTGCA